CCCCCCCCCCCCTTCTGTCTGCCCGACCCAGGCAACTACTGCGAAGAGAAAACACCCATCCAATATTGTGGCGGAAGTGTCGCTTCTGAGCTGCGGCCGACAAAACTGGGTTAAAAACTGCAGCTCTTCCGTATGGGGACGATGTACGTACCATCGGTGACGCAAGATACCACACCCCCTACATCGATTTTCCAAGCTCGATTTCTCCAGAGCACAAAGAATTGAAGCGCCGAAAACGGCGGCGTTGAAGCCGGCTCGTCGATAGCTTTCGAAGAACGTGTACTGTGATTTGATTCATACATCCCGTCCGTCGTGAGCAATTCAGCTTATGAATACTGATCCATGGGGTGTGGTATCTTGTGTGACCTACGGTATATCGTGCCCCTCGCTGGTGAAAACGCTGTTCTTTGGCCGCAATTCGTGCGCGAAAGGTGATGTGTGCAAGCTCTGCTCGGGCAACTTCATTGCCCCAAAGTGCCGCTATTAGACCCAGCCCTGCGACGCAAACCAAACGCCTGGAGAGCGAGTTTCGGTTTTGCTTCGATGTGCTGCTGCCACGCCGCCGCCAGGGCGTGGCTTGGTTGCGGTTCTGATCGCTTCGGAAACATCACAGCAGTGCAGAGACAGCAGACGGATAAGCAGGACGCGTTCGCTGTGCACGATGAGGAGTCTTCGGGGAGCAAGGACTTGTCGCTCGAAGCTAACAGCAGAACAGAGCTTCGCCGTTTGCCCCCCTTTGCAGACGGCCGCCGACAACAAACCCCGAGTGGGCTGCTGCTGCTGCTGCTGCTCGCAGGAGGGTGTGATCCGAACTAGCTGATTTTCGTTCTACTGCAGCTGGGAACGAATCGTACCTGCCCTTGGCGCTTTTCGCCCGTCGACAGCGTCAGGTCCACGATCTCCGCGTACTTGGGCAGCTTCACGTTCTCCAAGATAACCAAGGGCCCGTTAACGCCCGAGATCGTCCGGTACTCCATACGGGGCTCTACGTGGTAGTCGCGCACCACCGCTGCCGTGGCCGCATCCAAAGGACCCATAATGTTCGCCATCGCTGCCAAATAACACGCCCACGCTAATATGGGTTCTGCTCACGACCACTGCCCTCTTCGAAGGGCCACGCGCAGAAAGCGAGAGCGCACGAGAGCAGGGACGGAAGAGCAGCTGAGTTGTTGCAGAGGTTATGCCGCGGGCTTCAGCGGTGTCGGGGGCGATATTGCTGACAGAAGACAGGGTAGCAGGAAGGCAGCGGCACAGCGGAACCGAAGGTTCTTAATAAGGAGCTCCGTGGATCACTTTTGGTGGCTATCCCAATGGTCTCCTCCCACCTGGACGTGTTTGCTTCCCATCCACCTATGCATTGCGTGTCTTGGTGTGTGCAGTACCTCACAGCAGGCGGAGGGGCTGCCGATCGGTAGCCATGAGTCGCGTGGTGAGATTGCTGGGTCGCACAAAGGCCTACATCATGGAATGCAAGGTGCGCCATCCAGGGTGGATCTCAATCAGACAAGTGCGGCGAGATTTCGAACACATGAAGAATGACGGACTAAACTATAGCTGCTCATGTCCTGCAGAGTGCACACAATAGCAGCAGCGACTTACTCATATCTGCTGGCTGACGCTGGTTTCGTGCGCAACAGTAATGAATCCAATAGAGTGGTGTGGTTTTGCGTCAAGAAAAAAAACTGCAGTATTGCGGAACCCCACACTATTCGGACGCGGGGCTGTCGTCGCACTATTTTTCACTCTATCGGCCCGCGCACCATTCGGGATCGCGCTATCATTGAGGGACCCTACCAGGATTTTTGAAGGCATTGCTTTTACACATGCATATGCTATGCATATGCGTGTTCATACGCTAGTCACGAAAGACTGCCAGAACGGTTGGAGGCAATACCAAAGTCGAAGGTCTGCTGTGCTGGTGGTCTTTGCAGTGAGTGGGGAGTGAAAGCCCGGAGGATACTGCTGTGTAAACTTGGGTTTGCGTGAGTGTTGTACGTGCTGTAGTCTAGGCCTTCTACTGAATGTATCAGTGAGGCCAGCTGTTTCGTTTGTTTCGCACCCCCCTCGAGTGCGTACTTATAGTAGTGCACCAACCGAGCGGGCCTTCGTGGCGCACGAGGAAAGGCTGAGGGGGCGGTGGAACCGCCGTGTGTAGGAAGGGAGTTCTCTCTTTCTTCACAGCGAAACGTCCCTTCAGATTGGCGCCCGAACAGGTACACAATGTACTACCCCTGTGATCCTATTGTAGCCTGTATGTTCTAAGAAGCGATGCCGCGGTGGCTTGATATCTAAACACTGGCGCGATACGCTACGGGGTCTAAGGTGCGGTGGACGTTTTCTTTGAATTCCTCGCGCCTGTTTCACCTACAGCAATACTAGTGACACTGCTCGGTTCTTGACCCTATCCCCACACCCCAGTGCCTCGCAATAATTTCACTGTGGTCTCCCCTTCCTTTCTGCCAATCCGGGCGCCTGAACAACGGCTCCTTCGTGGTTCTTCGAACACCACCTCCACTATCCCCACACCCCATGCCGCTTTCACCTCTCCCCCCCCGCCCTCAATATGGGGGTCTGTTTGCCCTGGCAGCAAAACATGGCGCCGCTGCCAAACCCTGAATGGTACGAAGAAGGGAAGGACACCAGGGTTACCTTCAAGAATCTAAGGTAAAGGATGGGGGGCAACTGAATCCGCTGTCCAAATTTTGTGGCACCAGGACTGCTGTGCTGTGCTCCGGGCTCATTACACTTTCCCTACCACGACAAGAAAGCTGCGTCCATGCGAGTGACGGCGGGTAGCATTCTCCGGTAGCTGTGCTGGAACACACCCACCGGTGAAACCCAATGTTCGGGGTGACGTGGGCAAGGTTGGGTGGGGGGTAGATGGATGGGCGAATGGGAGGCAGGCGGAGGGCACTAGGAACTCCCCCCCTTACTATGTGCCTTCCAATCGGCGCGCGCAGTAGCAACCGTAAATCGTGCGCCCCATCGTCCAGAAGCACGACTTGCGTTTTTCTTTTTTTAGACAACATGAAAGCAGTCACTGAAAGACGTACCGGTGCGAGATAATGCCACATCCGTAGTCTTTATTGTGCTAGCTCATGCTGCTTTTGCGGCTGCTGCTGATTGCTGCCGCGACTCTACCCCCCCCCCCCCCCCCCCCCACCC